TATATGAGTGAGAGGTCCAATTGTGCAAGCGAAAGATCCGAGTAAGCGAGTGAAAGGTCCGAGTGCGCGAGCGAAAGATCCGACTGTGCGAGCGAGACGCAAATAGCGTATTAGTCAAAATTACCTTCAACTTCAAAGAACGATATCTCGGCAACGAAAAGTGATATCGGTGTGAATAAAAAATCATTTTAAAAGGAAAACTCTTCTCTTTCCAGTGATACCAGAAAGCTTCGCGTTGATTATGTAAAAGTATCCGTTTTGAGAATTATTATTTGATCATTGATACAAATAAAATTATATATCTATTATAAGAGTTTTGTTACGTATTGTTATTACACGTATATGTAGGTGTTCTAGATTTTTTATTACGTAGTATAATAGCTATATCGACACGTAATTTATGTTCCTTATTACGATGACAACAGAAATTTGTCTTTGAATCGAAGTACGAAAGAAGGAACGTGAATAGAATTATTAGAATTTTGATTTACAGTTTATTCGTATTATTATTATTATTATTATTATCAGAAATTAAAAAACATTTAGTTTAAAAAATACGGTATTAATTGAAAGTATTACCACGGGTAAAAATACTTGAACTTACTGAAAAAATTAATTTATTATGAAACATGAGGCAGTAATATAAATACAATGTTAAATAACAATAAAAATACACGAATGAAGGGATGAAAAAAAATATTATATTTTCAAATGCACCATTAGTAGATGTCATTTATAAGCGAATTCGTTATTATGTAAAACAAAGAAAAGCGTACCGTGGCTTGGTATTTTTATAAATAAAAGAACACGTGTCGTGGAAAAATACGTACAACAAAAAATTCCAGCGCGTGGACATGTGTAGGTGTGAGTACGAGCATGAAAAGATACAAAGGAAAAATAGCCCGAGTGATCACCCTGTAGGTACACAAGTTTTTAATGGTGGATGAAATATCAGTAACAATAAGAACAATTCTTTATTTAATTTCAAAAAATGATCAAACACAAATATTAAGTATAAATCTAATTAATTCCTCGCAATCACATGCTCACACCTATTTTCACTATTACAACTCAATTACAACTTACCTATGCCCAATCTCTCTGGTTCGTTCTTTCTACTTTCACACATTACATGAACACACACAATTCAAACACACCTCGATCATTATACGTATACTCATTTATCACAATAATCTGAACCATAGATATTGGCATCCCATGCATACTTGTCCCACTCATCCCTTTCTTACAGACATTATACATATATATTCAAAATCTATGTTAACCATTACCACATATTTCACTAATAATCAATTTTATATATACAACTATACAACTGTAGATGGTTATTTCCCTGCACATTATAATAGACAATCATCATTACTATCAAATGATATAATGGTAATTCACAATTACCACACAAGTGTCAAGTGTGAATATAATAATTACATGCACCCAAATTATTGTACTAAACATTATAATCAGTAGATGCAACGCTTACATAATTTTGGTAATTCCCTTACTTCTAGTACCAAAATTTGTACCTAACAGTCTTCTAATTTTGCCTACAATCTTAATCACGCGATTTCAGTCACGCCATTATTAATCACGAGGAATTTCACGAAAACCCCACCCGAGTAATTCTCACTCTGCCCCATGATAAAAAGGAATTCCAACGAAATGTTAAAACTCTCGCGTGACACGAAAGACAATCTCTAGTAAGAAATATCACTGTCGAAGCGTTATCTCTTCGTTCCTCTAACCAAGATATACACCTGCTCTAAAAAAGCAAGGTCTCTCCTTCTGTACCTATTACCTCGCTAATAGAGCTCAAGTGCCAATAAATTTCCAGCGAACGGATTTCGAATGGAAAATTCGACGAAACTACGTTCCACGATTTAACGAAGTTCAATACTCCATTATGAAAATTAAAAAGGTAAAAAGGAAAAAGGAGACGGAGAAAAAAATATGAAGGTGAGGATGTTAGGGACGTATCTATCCGGTATCTGATTAAGAATTGGTCACGAGCAAAGTACGATATTACTTTCGATAATAGAATATCGATTTCCAATTAATCTCAAGAGGACGAACCATTGAATTTTAAACCAGCCGCACTTCAACGCCTATTATAATACGTACACGATGTATATGGGTTGCAACCTAGTTACGAAAGCAGAAATCCTCAATGGAATGGAAACTCTTAGACGGGGGAAAACCAGAGGAAACTTTAATGCCAGAGTTTTCAAACACGTTTCGTCTTGAGACTTCGATGTTTCAGCTTCGAAAAAATTTCTGTACGTTTCGCGATTTTATTATCTCTGTAAAATTGCAATCTCGGTATTGGGGTGAGGTTCGGGGTGGATCGGTGTCACGTGTGAGATGGTACAACGACGGATATGAGAGTAAATTGTGATTGGTTAATTTGAGAGGCTGATAATAGAGATGAAGTTAGGAATAATTAATTTCTGAAATTCTCTAACATTTTATATTTTATATTTTGTGTGGATTTTTACGTACAATTTTTAGGTTAAATTCTTGTGACAGTGTGTGACTTGAAAGGTGATATAAATGTGAAAATATATTGCTTTTGTTTCTTTACTTGTTTTATTTTATTAATATATTACTATATCGATACAACCTTTTTGTAATAATTAATAGTGATCGTTTAACTGTTAGTGTACTATTACTTCTACTACTAGTATTCTATATTTATTTTATTTTATTAATATATTACTATATCCAGACTACTTTTTTATAATAATTAATAGTGATTGTTTAACTGTCAGTGTACTATTATTTTATTATTGTATCATAATATCATAGCAATTTTTAATTCCTGTTATTCCTCCTATGATGTGTATAATTTTTTCATAATATAATATACATTCTATATTATTTGTACATTAATTCATATTATTTCTCCCATAAATCAGAATGAAAAATTATAATTTTCAATTTTTGTAATTTCTTCCATACAAATTCTGAATAATAATAGTAACAATAATATGTACAGAACAATAATATATATAGTAGCAGTAATAATAGTAATAATAGTGAATAATAGGAACAAAATTTTAAAGAAAAATTGGAAAAATAAATCATCTACTGCAGAAAAATGTTCATAAATAATTCACGATTTTTGAAAAAGTTAATAAATAATATTTCCATTTATTTAATAAACATTTCATTCTGCCTTCTATCGTCAATCACCATGCACATTATTAATAACAATATTATGAAAGTATTAATTACATACCATTTTATCAAGATAACACCTACTGTAATAACAAAAATCTTTCCAGACTCTAATTACATAAATTAATTAACCAATTTTATAGTGAATACGAATTTCAAGTCACTGGTAAAAAAATTTCCAATAAATGAGGAGATTCCCCACATTCGTGTGAATTTTCATTTCCTTATCCTTCCCGCGATATTAACTACAGTTTGGTATTTATATTCTCCACTATCTAATATTCAAATAAAATATTTATAACCTAAACGCGCGTGGCCAATCGAGCCGACACGTGATACTTTTATTCCAGAAGAAGGGTGCTCCATTTTAGAATGGTTGCGCAATATTCCCGAGGAGCTGTGATACAAAATCATATTATATTACACCCCTTCGATAGACTCCTCTCTACTCAACGTTCGCGAACTTGTTAACTAAATTGTTGCAAACTTCGCCTCTTTGAGCGACATGTAAACACACGGACGTTCGCAATGTTTCTGTAAGTTTTATCGCTTATCGAACGCGTCAAGTGAATAAAATGACATAAAAGTATGGGAATCCAATGGCAACATGGCCGACGAACGCGTTTCAAACTTTGCAGAACGTGGTCGTTCTATGTTGTTCGAATCATGGGGAGTATTTTTAATATTTGTTATATTATAGTATATATAGATTATATAACCAAGTCCAGTGGCATATAAAACGTTGTTAATTATAACTGAAGATTTTTTTGTTTTCATTTAACAGCTTAAAAGGGAAGAGAAAAATATTCCTGATTAAATTGGTGGGTATTATATATTATAAAAATCCCTATGGTATATCTGAAAATTCCAACACACTGGTTGAGTTTCCAACATCACTAGTGTGGAGTAAATAACATGATCAGAGGATTCTATTATTTTAATTATTATTCTCATATTAATGAAAGAAGAGGTTGAATATTTTGGGAATATTCTCGTTTCGATATTCTCAATTATAAATAATTTTATGTTCAGAAATTTCTAGGGTCTTGAGACTATAATAATACTGTTGCTGTCATAAATATAATTTTTCAAGAAATTTTAGGAATACATTGAAATTCGATATATATTAATAAAATACAATTTTCTTTTTAAATGTATTGCTTTAACTCAAATTTATATTTTAATTTAAAGGTATATACAAATTTTATATACATAACTAACTCAAATAAATTGGAACAACAATCTTTGCAAGTAATTAATTTAACTTTATTGAATTAAAAATTCGAAATATATTAAACACCGTATTTGTCACTTTATTTTATTTTATTTTATATAAAAATAATTTTGAAAATTTTATTTAGTACTTTTTATTCAAACAACAATCTGTGCAAGTAATCAATTTAATTTTACCGAATTAAAAATTTTAAATATATTAAACACTGTATTTGTCACTTTACATTATTTTATTTTATATAAAAATAATTTTGAAGATTTTATCTAATATTTTCTGATCAAAATTTTCCATGCAACTATCGAATTTGCAACTATACCTCTACCAATGAAATTTTCTTATTACTCGTGAATTAAATATATATATCTTAGAAAAGAATTCGAGTCACTATTACGAATTTTCAATTTCTTTCGTACGAAATTACAATTTTGGAAGTCTCGTAATTCCCATAATTTCATATATTCAAGCAAAACAAAGGATGCAAGTTATCCTATCTCTTCTTTCCACGGTTCTTTCAAGTTCCATGTCTTACTTTCTTCTTTTTAAAATTGAAGTAAAAGAATTAAGGACTCACCTTCTCCTCCATCTTACAGACGACATTCTCGACGGCATTCTCCGCCGATTTCACGATGGCTGCTGCAGCTTGCTCCTTTCTCGACATGTGGCCGCGGAAAGATGCCTGGATTTTCGTCGCCGCTTCGCAAAGCTCTGTCAACCAAAAAGAAAGGTTATATACTCTTAAGTTGATGTCGATAGACGAGGCTGGGATCGATACGCCGTGCCCTTGTCAAGTCGAGGAAACAGGATTCCGAGTTTCAAGCTTTTTACACTGACAGCCTAAGAGCGTCTCCGTTCGAAAAATTGCTTTGACATTGAAGCAACTTATTTTTATCGAGCAACTCAATATCCAGATTTACCGACCTGGCCGAGAAATTAGAAACAAAAATCGCGACTTTTGCTCTAAAAACCTAATCACCCATGTGATTATATCAGTAACTTGAAGGTGTATTTTTGTGGACATTTTGGGGATTTTTTTCTAAGGGAACCATGATACATATTGGCATACAGTTTTAACCTTCAGATTTATTTATACTTAGAAAACATTTACAATTTTTCTTTAACGAAATTAATGAAAATTGTGGAAATTATATAGCCTTAGGTAAATCGTGTTTTTAAAAACGGGCTTGAATAAGTGACGTGATTTCGGACCATCCGGTTATCAGAAACGAAAAAACTCAAAAGCAGCTTAATTAGTATAAG